CAGCACTAACTGAACACTTTGTCTGCAGCACTGGCATGTCCAGGTCCAAGGTACAAGCGTGTGGTAAAAGCAGCAGCAAAGGGAAAGGAGCCCAGATGCCACTGATCCAGAAGAAACTCATTGCCCCCTCCAGAAGAGCTACCTCCAAAAGCCAGGAAAAGTCATCATCTTCCCAGGAAAAGTCATTGTTATCCTTCTGCTCTTCTTCTGCTGCTGGCAAGACCCCTAACAAAAGAGGTAAGAGGCATGTCATTACTCTGAGGGATTATTTCAGTCTGCTTTCTCCCCAGCCATGTCACCCCACTTTACAAAGAGAGAACTTTACAAAGGTAACCATTTAGTCCCTCTGAAATTACCTTTGCCGTGCTCCACTGCAACAGAGCTCGCATCCAAACTTTTGCCCACTGCAGCAGGAAGCAGCACACTTTCTGCTGGACCTTCAGAATCAGTCTGTGTAATTGAAAAGACATGTCTGAGAACTGGAAAAGGCTCTTTCTCAATCCACTTCCATGCACAACACTTCTGCTTTAGCCAAAAGGCCTAATGAGCACGATCAGGTGACAGAAGCAACAAAACAGGCAAACACAGCCAGCACATTCGGCATCTCTCTTGAGCAGGGCTTTCCAAAGGGGATGAAGTACTCGTGTCCAATCCAGAGGGAACCTAGGCTGGAGAAATACATCTCCAGACTGTAGGTCATAAGGGAACCATTTGACATTAATGGATCCAGGGAAGCGGGCTGGGGGGGGGGAAACAGCAATCCTCACAGTCCCAGTCTTGTAGGATTTCAGAGAACCGTAAGCAGCAGGAAGCTTTACCGCTTTGTTCTAAAAATCCAGCTTGGAGGTCAGTTGCAAGGAGACCCAGGACATTAGTTTGACCTCACTTTGTCCCAGCACTAACTGAACACTTTGTCTGCAGCACTGGCATGTCCATGGCCAAGGTGCAAGCGTGTGACAAAAGCAGCAGAAAAAGGGAAAGGATCCCAGACGCCATTGTTCCAGCAGGACCTCACTGCCTCCTCCAGAGAAGGTACCTCAGTATCCCAGGGGGAGTCATTGTCTTCCTTCCGCTCTTCTGTTGCTGGCAAGGCCCCTATACAAAAGGTAACAGGCATGTCTTGGAGTGCTTATTTCACTCTGCTTCTCCCCAGCCATGTCACCCCAGAGAAGTTCACAAAGGTAACCATTTAGTCCCTCTGAAATTACCTTTGCTGCTCCGTACTAACAGAGCACGCGCGTCCAATCTATTGCCGAATGCAGCAGGAAGCAGCACAGTTTTTGATACATCCCAGGGACCGTCAGAATCAGTCTGTGTAATTGAAAAGACACGTCTGAGAACTGGTAAAAGCTCCTTCTCAACCCACTTCCACGCACAACACTTCTGCTTCAGCCAAGAGGCCTAACGAGCAGGATCAGGTGGCAGAAGCAACAAAACAGGCAAACACAGCCAGCACATTCGGCATCTCTCTTGAGCAGGGCTTTCCAAAGGGGATGAAGTACCCCTGCCCAATGCAGAGAGAACCTAGGCAGAAGAAATACATCTCCAGACTGGAGGTCATAACAGTCATCCATCTGACATTAATGGATCCAGGGAAGGAGGCTGTGGCGTCGAAAACAGCATTCCTCACTATACGAGTTTTCTAGGATTTTAGGAGATTGTAAGCAGCAGGAAGCTTTACTGCTTTGTTTTAGAAATCCAGCTTGGAGGTCAGCTGCAAGGAGACCCAGGACATTAGCTTGACCTCACTTTGTCCCAGCACTAACTGAACACTTTGTCTGCAGCACTGGCATGTCCAGGTCCAAGGTGCAAGCGTGTGGCAAAAGCAGCAGCAAAGGGAAAGGAGCCCAGAAGCCATTGATCCAGCAGGACCTCACTGCCTCCTCCACAGTAGGTACCTCAGAATCCCAGGAGGAGTCACTGTCTTCCTTCTGCTCTTCTGCTGCTGGCAAGGCTCCTAACAAAAGATAACAGGTTGGTCATTACTCTGAGAGCTTATTTCACTCTGCTTTCTCCCCAGCCATGCCACCCCAGAGAACTTTACAAAGGTAACTATTTAGTCCCTCTGAAATTACCTTTGCCGTGCTCCAGTGCAACAGAGCGCGCATCCAAACTCTTGCCCACTGCAGCAGGAAGCGTCGGGTCAGCGGACACTTTCCCTCGACCTTTGGAATCAGTCTGTGTAATTGAAAAGACACGTCTGAGAACTGGAAAAGGCTCCTTCTCAACCCACTTCCACGCACAACACTTTGCTGTAGCCAAAAGACATAACAAGCGGGATCAGGTGATGGAAGGAACAAAACAGGCAAACACAGCCAGCATGTTCGGCATCTCTCTTGAGCAGGGCTTTCCAAAGGGGATGAAGTACCCCTGCCCAATCCAGAGAGAATGCAGGCAGAAGAAAGGAGTCTCCAGACTGTGAGTCATATGGGAACCAATTGACAGTGACTGGAGCAGAAGATGTTTCCGGTATGATAGAAAATCCACAATCTTCACCAAGCTAGTCTTCTAACAGAAACTTTACTGCTTTGTCCTTTTTTAGAAATCCAGCTTGGATGTCAGCTGCAAGGAGAACCAGCTGGACCTCACTTTGTCCCAGTCCTACAGGAACAGTTTGTCTGCAGCACTGGCATGTCAGGGTCTGAGTTAGAAGCATTTGGCAAAAGCAGCTGCAGATAGTAATGATCCCAGAAGCCAGTGATTCAGAGGGACCCCACTGCCTCCTCCACAGTAGGTACCTCAGAATCCCAGGAGGAGTCTTTGTCTTTCTTCTGCTCTTCTCTCACTCCTGGCAAGACACCTAACAAATATGAGAAGAGTCACATCACTCCTTGGAGTGCTGATTTTCCTCTGCTTTGGCACCTCCCTCAAGACATGCATCACATTGATGGGTTATCATTCTCCTACAGGCCACATTGATTTTTCCTTCTTACCTCCTTGATAGCAAAGAGTCTTACATGATTCTGGCAATGCAGGTGTATTTGAGAGAATGTCAGCAGTTGTCCCAGAGCAAGAGCTGTTAATTTCTTCTGTGCCTCCGGCAGAACATGGTCCCTTCCTTTCAGAGCATTCATATTCCTCTCCTTCATTAGCAATGCTAAAGATAGAAAGGGAGGAAATGCAATAGGTAAAAATGCCCCCAGACTTTCCTGCACTCTCCACGGGAAGGGCAACAGCCATGCATGTGCCATTCTAATCCTATTCATAGACAACTGCTAAAGGGTCACACACACACACACACAAAACATACTGCAGTCCTAGAGTAGTGGAGACTAAATCCTCACTACCGGCATGCTCACGCTACAGGTGCCTATTCTATCTGTGGAGTAACTCACCCCTGCTGGCTACTGTCTCATCTGATAAACCCCCTCTCCATTTCAAGGACCAGGGAGATTAACTAGGCCCCTGGCAGGCTGACATCTCCAAAGCCTCTTCCTCAGCTGGATGTTATACTAATGTCTCAACATTAAGATGGAGCAATGTCTCCTCAACCCCAGTTCTCACTTTGAAGGGCTTCAGAAATTCCCATGGTTCCTCTGAAGACCTGAAGTTCAGAGGGCTCCTAAGTCGGATATTAAGAGGCCAACAAATACTGCACTTGCATTCTGAGACCTTTGTCATATTCTAACAACCTTGGGTCTCAGTTGGAGGTCAGGTTTGTTTCAGGAGCAGGAACACAAAACAAAAAACCCCAATCAAACAACAAAAGAAATTAAACACATTCTCCAGACCAAGGCTGCTATGCAGAATGGTGCATTAGCACAACAGAAGCCTGGAGGGGAGGAATGAATACCTTGTTTTGTTAGAGCAATCCTCAAACATGCTTTAGTCCTAAAGGGGTTTTTACTCCACAGTTTACCCAGGCTCCCTTCTCTCCTGCTTCCCATCAAGACAGGCTAACAGAAGGGGCAGGGGGAGAGGAAATTGAGATCCAGTGACAAGAGTTCATAGGCAGTTGTTTATGGCTAGGCAAGGCATGCTCATAGGCATAATGCAATTCATTCACACATCCCTTGGCTACCATCACTAGGATAGAGGGCTTTTTTCCTCAGTCTAGTTAAGCACACGTAGCCACCTTAGCTAGTGAATGGCCAGAGGTGCAAAGCTATCCACGGGAAGAGGAAAAGCACCGAAGAGTTTTAATTAGGGGATATCAGTTAGATCCCCTCTGAAACAAAAGGCGGGTAGTTGCTGCTTGGGAGTAGAATGGAACTTGGAAGCACACAGGTGAATTCTCAAAGAGAACTGGGTTTGGTGGGGAGGAAGGATGTTTTCCTCAATTTCCAAATCTACCCTTTACATGGAAAGAGATGCATCAGAAGGTGTCACACTTCGATAAAGCTCTCAGCACCTCATTTAACCCTGCTGCTGTTACCAAAAAGGGCTGTACATCAGCACAGACATTCTGAGAATGCAGTTGCTCTAACAAGGATGTAAAACACTTACAACTCATCTCCAAATAGTCTTTCCAAATCTCGAACTGCAAATGCTCCAAGGCCTTCTTTATTGATAACACCGCCATTGCGAAGAAGAACTTCTGCTGCATCCTTATCCTGAAGAATAGCAGCAACTTCCAGAGGGGTCCTAGGGCATCCAGGAGATAAGAGTAAATACATCAGCTTCTGCAGGCATTACGTGTCATTTCTTTAATCCGTCTTTGCTTCTCAGACAATTCATTTCCCCTCTCCTACTGGTAGAATGAAAGCACAGCCAAACACCTGGAAGTGTTGGGAGAATTCAGGTTGGTGGGACCTCAGGAGGTCTCCAGGCCAGCCACCCACCCAAAGCAGACTCAGGTTGCGTGTGTGTGCCTGCGCGCGCGCGTGTGCATGTGGGACCACAGACAATGCTTTCTTGCGGTCCTCAGTGTGGAAATCACCCCCTGAAGTAAGCAAGCAGCAGAGCGCAGGTCTGCTTTCACAAGTCACACTGAAGGAGCTCCTTCTGGGTGGTTCCTGGCCCTTTTTCAAAGCTCATTCTTATGCCTCCCATCAATCCAACTTAAACAATGCTAAGGAGTCCCACATGTGCTTTTACCAAATCCTTCACCTTTTAAGAGTATCTGTAGCATTCACGTCAGCTCCTTTTTGAAGAAGGAACTCGATCATCCCTTTGCAACGCTCACTGATCGCAAGAGTAAGTGGAGTGTATCCCAGCTGAAAGGAAAAATCATCTCTCTTAAAATAACAGAGAAAAGTCAAGCAAGTTGACTTGGGAAGAGGAGGTTTACCTAAAGTCCAAGCTTACTTCATTCTTAACATCAATATCTGCGCCATACTCAAGTAACAGCTCCACTAGAGATTTGCTAGACATCAGGACAGCAAAGTGAAGGGCGGTGTTACCAGTAGCAGCTCTGTGGTAAAGGTTGGCACCATGCTCCAGCAGAATAGCCACACAATCTCTGTGCTGGTGCTGTACTGCCTGGAAACAAGACACAAAGGAGGAATAACTTCCAACATCTACATTGTTCTCTGTCAGAACTCCTGCGTCTTCCCAACACTGGAAAGTTTGAGCATCTTCAATCATAAGACAACATATGCCCCTTTCACATACCAGCATCAGTGGTGATCTCTTATATTTGTCACGAGGATTTAGCTTGCAACTCTTGCCTACTAGAAACCGAACAACATCTGCATGGCCATTTATGCAAGCAAGATGCAGAGGTGTCCTAGAAATTAAACATACACAATTGTCCCGGTTTAAGCCCAGCTGACAATTAAGCCCCACACAGCTACTTGCTCACACCCTCTCCCTCCCCGCCCCAGTGAAACAGGGAGGAGAATCAAAAGTAAAACCTTTAATAACAAATTAAAATAGAGTAATAATTAAAACAAAATAAATAAAATAAATAATACTAAGGGATGCTAGATGCTGTCTGTTCCACTGATGGTATCCTTTGTTGCTGCTTAGGCTTGAAAGTACCTAAAGTACATCCACCAAAAAACCTCCCTGACTTTAGATAATTTTGACAAATTCCACATTTTGCAAAAGGTGGAGGCTTTGCTGTTTGTCCTTACAGCTTGTCTGGGTTGCGCCTGTTGATGAGGAACTTCTTCAGACACCAGTGCCGCCGCAGCTGGTCCAGGTCGCCGCGGGCGGCCGCGCTGTGCAGGTCGACCCAGGCCATCTCTCGGCGTTCGGCGGCCTCGGCCTGGGTTCAGCAGACACAGGAGATGCCCGGCAGACTCTGCCGAGTCCCTGGCGGGGAGGGGGAGGGGGTGTGGGGAGAGGATGGTCAGATCCGAGAGGCGAGATCCGAGTGGCAGCTGCGCTTCGCAGCCCCCGACGGTCCAAGCCAGAGAAGCGCTGCTGATCCCGTCGCGGCGGAGTCAGCAATGACGGCCAGCAAGGGTCTGGCGCCGGGACAGCAGCCGTGGAGCGCCGAGACATCACAGAGGGGGCTTGTGGCGCGGCACCACAGCCGGTTCCGAGACCGACCCGCCGCTGAGCAGGGATGAGTCCATTGGGGAGGGTATAGCTGGGATAACATAGGAAGGGGGGGGGGAAACAGCGCACAACAGCAACTGCAGACGGAGAGAGAAGTGAGAATATGTGACAGAAACAGCCCTGAAGACCCCAAGGTCAGTGAAGAAGGAGGGGAAGGAGGTGCTCAGGCAACGGAGCAGAGATTCCCCTGCAGCCCGTGGTGCCGCTCATGGTGGGACAGCGGTGCCCCTGCAGCCCAGGGAAGCTCACGGTGCAGGGGAGGTCCACCTGCAGCCCCTGGAGGACCCCACGCTGGAGCAGATGGATGCCTGAAAGGAGGCTGTGACCTCGTGGGAGGCTCGTGCTGCAGTAGGCTCCCAGCAGGAGCCTGGAGCAGATTTACTAGCAGGAATTGTGGCCCCGGTAGGGGGCCAGAACAGGTGTGAGCTTGTTACTTTGGAGATAATGACTTGGTCAGCTGGGCTTGAATAATTTTGTCACCCCAAGATGCCCTCTGGAGAGCAGAAGGTGCAATTCTGCCGAAAGGACAGACTTTCTACCCCTTCTACCTGACGATGAGCAGGCTGAGGGTTTGTAGGTTGCAAATATATATAATAAATATATACAATAAAAATATATAATAAATATAATAAATCTATAAAACATAAAAATACCCACCTTCAAAGACAAAGAAGAAAAGAAGTGCTCTAGTGCTCCACTGCAAGACCCATCACCAACAAATAACAGAAGTGCTATATAGATATTAAGACTCAGGGCTGTCTAACAGATTTCTGTGAAACATAATCCCTACAGTGACAAGAGCAATAAAACTCAAAGCTCTTCCCCTGCTCCTGATGATTTTATTGTGAGTTTTGAAACCTCGGCAAACAGACCTAGGACACTGTGCTTTGTGAAATGTTTCTGTTACTTGAATAAAATCCCCTGTTTCCTGAAAAGTGCGTTTATTTTCTTTCCCACCAGGGATTGCACTGCAAGATCCCACAGCATCTGTGTTGGATGGGATGAACTACACCCTAAAAAATCCAACCCTTTCTCTCTCCTTTAACTATAAAGAAAGCAATGAATTACTAGCTCAGCTATAGATGTCTCAATTCAACACACAATTTTACGGTCGGACTGGATGATCTTAATGTTTTTTTTCCAACCTAAATGATTCTGGGAGAATAATTCTATGATAAAGTTATATTCACTACGGATAATCACATGAACCCCACTAAATATTCACAAGCCCTTTGTGAGCTGTGCTCCCTGTCATCTGCATTTTGTCTTCCCTCTTCCTTGGTTGGTTGTTTGAGATGAAGTGACCCACCACTGAACACCTTGGAATATCTTTGACAGACAGGATTGTCGAAAGCTAACAATTTAAAACTACAGGAACAGTAGGTTTACCTGTCTAATCAGATTTATTAGTGTTCCCCTGCCAACTAATTTGGGTGAGATACCAGCCACATGACCATATATGCTTGGTCTCTTACAGACATTTAAGAAGAAATGGTCCTTTCTTATGGATTTTATAAGATGCGACAAACACAGTGAATTCACTCTCTTTCTTTCTTTTTACGAAGTTCTTCCTTAACAAATGGAGCACATAGTTAATTTGGGAGATCTGAAGAACAAGGAGAAAGACCGGTTTGAGTCAACTTATCTCTGAAAAAAATTAATTTTTTCTTCTCTGGAATTATGTCTGATTAAAATGTCTTATAAAGAAAATTCAAAACGGACCCATAGGTGGCTACTAAAAGGGTGGGCAGGATGTACCTTCAAACATCCCTGATTAATGACTGGATGTTGCACAGGGGGAATGGACCGCAGACTACCAGTTATTGCAATGCAAACCTGTACTGTAGTATTGCCTTTGTCACTAAGAAGCCACAGGCTTTGTACTGAGCTTTGTAGGCCTCAGGGGAAGGCTTGCTCCAGCTGAGCTTTCCTTGATCTCTACAAGCTGCATAAGGTGAACAAGCAGGTGCTAGCCAAAACTGGCTTTAGGGGCAATAGAGAGAAAAAAGAACAAGTATTTCTAACACATATAAAATGCACCATATCATAAATTCAAATGTAATGTGGAGCTGCAGAGCAATGAAAAAGAATAAGGTGTAAAAATGTGTTAGTAAATATGTAAATGGGACCCCATGTGGGTCCTAAAATGAGGGAGAGGAAAACACCATCAAGAACATTGTACTTCTCCAGCAAATAACTCCAGATGCTGGCAATGGGCCAAAACTCCCCTTCAACAGGAATCCCCAAAATGAAACCATCAACCTTAGGAGGAGCATGGAAAGAGTGAGGCAGAAAGGATCTAGAAGCTAAACAGGGTGAAAATAATTGTAACCACATCCTTTTCATTATTATATTACTATTGAAGCTTTTACTGCATTGAAATATTCTTTCTCTTTTTTCCGTAATTATTAGATCTGGACTATTATTGATGCTTGGATTAGACTGCTAATATTTCAATCATACTAGCAGAAAATTCTTTTTTTATATATGTTTCTTCTGAAATTCCCGTTGTCCTACACACTCCCCATCCTTTCCTTATCATTTGCTCCCCCAGCTGCACCCTCCAGATTGGTGGCCACACTGAAAGTCAACCGATGTCAAATACAGGTTATTCCTGGTGATTTGTTCTGGGAGGTGTGAGACACTGGATCAGTAAAAATATTGTTGGGTTGGAACCACCTCGGGGGGGGAAGGGGGTGTGGAGGGGGAAGGAATGGGTCGAACCTCACGGAGGTGAGATGGCGATGTATCCCTCGTAGCAGGCCCCTGGAGCGCCCAGAGCAGCTGTCAGTCAAAGGCAGCCCAGGAATGCTTCAACACACCACAGCTCCTGCAGCCCCTAACCCAGCCTCATGTTGGCAGGGACAGTGAGAGCGCTGCCCCTCACCCTGGAACCCCAGAATGGCCAGTGGGCCTCAAGTCCCAGCTAGGGGGGTGGCCAGGAGGACTAGAGCAGATAAAAAAAAAGGCATATGCTTTGTTTTGATAGTATGACACCCTTTGGATGCCAAGTTGTCTCATTTTTTCCCCTAAAATGATCAGTAAAAGTAGTCTTGAGGAAAAGTGTGTGGCCTCTTCTCTTTACAGTATCTCGAGATAGTAAAGAACCCTGTGTATGTTTTGAAAAGTAAAACTTGTGGCTGAACTTGCAGCTCTGGGGCAGGAATGTTACAGTAGGATAGATAAACTCTGCAAATGCATCAGAGTGAAGGGAAGATTACTATCTGCTTTGTAAATGCTGGGGCCCTTCTCAGTTTTACTATCTGAACATCATTATAATTTCAAAACTATCTCATTACAACAGAATGAATGTAAAATGCAATAATAACTACCTGTGAAATTTCTATGGCTGTGTCCAGACGGCAGTACATCAGCAGTGTTTTTTCCCTACTCTTACTTATTCCGTCCTATTATTTTAATTATAGAACTAACCGCATTTCAGAAAACAATAATTTTAATGCTGATTATATCTGGAGCAGGACTGTGATCGAAATAAAAATTGTATTTTCAATGTAGACTTTCTTAAAAATACCAATCTCTTTGTTTTCATACCTCGATGTTTATAGCAGCGTGGAGAGTAAATACCACATGTGCAGAAACCTACCTAGAATTAATCCTTAAAGACTTTTTACCTTATCTAAAGCATATTTCTACAGCATATCATACAAGCTAATTCTAGCCCTATTTACACCTATGCAATACTACCTTTCTTGATGTGTGTGTACAGAAAGGAAAGCTGAAGGATGTAGGAAATCTAACAAGATAAAATAGCTTATGAGGTGATTTGTAATAAGTTATTCATTTAGCAAAAAAATTAAGAGACATGTTGTCTGAAATACATGTTGTCTTTGCGGGGTAATTTTTAAAAACATCTACCTCACAACAAGGAAAGAATTAAAGGTGTGCAAGCTACAGCTGTGCACTCCTGTGGGAAGAGATGATATTTTTGTCCTTTGCTTACTCAGAAATTAGAGAGGTCAACCAATTAAAGTCTGCTTTTAATCACAGTCACCAGGGGTCCAGCAGGTATTATATATTTCTGTGTCCTTTAGTCCACACTTATCCTGAGGTTTTGGTTTCTTCTGGATTGAAGAAGTCTGCAGCCTTGCACAGGATGCCAGAGATTATCCCAAAGCGTACCGTCATGTTGAAGCTTCATAGCTCTGTAGTATGTAACCTGTAACCAATGCAGATGAATGCTGCATACAAGCCAAGATATTTATGTCAAAATTTCCAACACTTTAATGCATTCCTTCCTTCCTTCTGTAACATTTCAAAGGTTTGTCCTCAGTCTGGGATTAGATTTTCTGGAAAAAACAAAACAAAACAAAACAAAACAAAACCACCATCCCAAATGTTTTGGCTGACCTTTCCTTCTCAGTAACTTCTGTATTGGCAAAGCTTAGGGATTGGGCATGTAAAGCATCCCTTAGGGAAGGTGCTGGATTTTCAGGAAAAGGGCAAGAAATCATGATTTGTTGAAGTCATATGTTTTTATAAATATATTTTGTTTCTGGCTCTCAGTGTTAATTGTTGTATTTCCTATGGCTCACCAGCACTTGGCTGGTTCTGAACACCCCAAGTATTGCTCAAGAAAATGGGAGGGCAAGGGTAGTGCAAGTTCTTCACCTGACCCCAATTCAACTTCATAGCAAATTATCATTCTTCCAGTGAAGTCAGGGAAAGTTTAGGCATCTAAAAGCTATTTCAGATTGATTTCAGTCTTCTAATCTGTCAAGAAGGACAAAATGGGAATTCTGTACTTCCCCAGTAAGAAGTGATCTCATTGTTATCACTTATTTCTGCAATTACATGTAGCTCATTAGAAGTGAGTTATTTCACGTAATTTGTATCTCTTACCCAGAAAATCCCATTAGGCCGCTAAAGGCAA